AGATGTTTTGGACTTCTACTCCCAGAAATCCTAACAGCTGGTAAACTGGCTGGGATTTCTGGGAGTTGTAGGCCAAAACACCTGGGGACCTACATGTTGAGAACCATTGGTGTAGAGCAGGGTTCTCAACCTGTGGATCCCCAGGTGTTTTGGCCTACAACTCCCAGAAATCCCAGCCAGTTTACCAGCTGTTAGGATTTCTGGGAGTTGAAGACCAAAATACCTGGGGACCTACAGGTTGAGAACCACTGGTGTGGAGGATGAAGTGTATGATACTAGCTTTCTTTGTTATTAGATTGGGTTAGACCTGAGGTCATCAATTTTTCCTCCTCTTCCCCGAAAGAGAAAGGTGTAGAAAAAGATAAGTTGCAGTAATGTTACATGGAAGTGAAGTGTGTATAAATATGAGCAGAAGGGACTCCCCCCCCCCCCGAATTAAGAGAATGAACGGTTCCAGTGGAACCATCTGGAAAAGAGGGCAGAGGCTGGCTGACTGATACAGCCAGCCTCCTCCCTCATTCTGCCGTAAAGACTCAACCCACCATGCCTGCCCACTGACAGTATAATTATTCGGTTGCCTTCTGGAACCAGGTAGGAATTTTTTGCCCCCTATGTTCTGGGGAGGGGGGGGTGTCGCCTACCCTATACTGTTATTAGGGGCTAGCTGGGATGGTGTGTTTTAATTAGGCTTAATAGCATAGGAAAACACAGGTATTGATGTATACACAAGGCACCCCTTAAGGGTGGGGGTCATTACACAACAAACACTCACCTAGAGGTCATCAAATGGGTGAGGGGATATCACATGGCACAGAAACGGGCGAGTCTGATATCAATAATTTGATACAGGCTTCTCCAGACCTTTACCTTAGAGGTTGCCCGGTTTGGGCTCCAGGGGACACATATTACACACTGAATAGCCGAGGACGCTGCCTCGGTTTGGCCACCAAGTTCTTAGACACATAGTTTAGTTCAGTTAAAGTTAAATAAGTAACATTTAATAAAGTTGAATCCAAACTATTGTTTTCTAGTCTCGTTATTTCGGCGGTTAAGAGGCAAATGGAAACTATGTGTAAGCAAGATGTTATAATGTTGAAACAATAAAGAAAACAAATAAAGGAAATAAAAACAGGAAGAGTCCAGATAATGATTGCAAAAAACAAAAAGAAAAAGATCTGGGCCTTACTTTTGGGTAGTCCTAGATTACCCAGGGGTGAGTCCCCATTATCATCTTGCACCATTTGGGCTCCTGGAGTCTAAGGTGCAGAATGGTGCCCACTCCCTCCCCCAAGCCCCAAATTTACATTAAAGAAAATGTACCTGGCCACCATAAGTTCTCTCCTCACATCCTCCTGACATGAGGAAATGATGTGCCAGGAGATCTGGGTGTGTCAGGAGGAAACGAGGAGGGTACTTATGGCACCAAGGTACATTTTACTTAACTTTTAGGGGTAAATTGAAGGGTTTCATGGTGGCTGCATACCATTCCGATTTTAATTGGTATAGCATGTACGCCCCCCCCTTGAAAGCCTAGGGTTTTTTTTGGGGGGGGGAACGACAGTGGGGACTGAGAATCTGGAAAAAAATTAAACCAGCTTCAGCACGGATTTTAGTCCTGTCTGGAAGTGCCCTTACAAGGTTCATCTTCACAAACAATGAAGCTGCACTTTCTAATTCCTCTAAGCCAAAGTTATTTTCTACAACTGCTAAGGTGCATTCTGTTTTACTCTTCAAACTTTTCCTGCATGTGTGTGTGTGTGTGCAATAGAAGGTCAGAGCTTCATGGCTCACCGCCTCATTAATTTTACTTCAAGTCTACAAAGGGAAGAGAATACTCTTAAGCAAACAGGCTCAGAAGCTGATTATGCTCTGCAGTGAATTATTAACAGCCTGAATTCTAGATGTAAACCACAAAGAAATAACAGTTTTCAGCTTTTCTTCAAAGAAGACTTCAGTCTGTCCTGCCTAGGAAAAGCTCATTATTTCCAGTGGAACATATACTAATTGTAGTTGCTTGTTGCAACTTTTTAAAAAGTAGGAAAACTATCGCTTTTGAAGAAGCCTAATTTATGACTCAAGTCAAACAGTCGAGATAACAGGCCAGCTATAGGGCACTCAACTGCCAGTCAAGCTGCTCTAAGAAACAAAACAAATCCCACTGATAAAGCCTCACACACATTAAGAGCTTCCAAGGAGAAAGAAGGGTGAGATAAACAGCTCTGTAAAATAGAGCAACAGAGGTGAAGGAGATACTATCCAGATTATATGAAAATGGTTTCCAAGCTATAGATAGAATTCTAACAATTCACATGGAAAATTAACACTAAATGGCTAAGAATTTAGCATCACTTTCATCCTTATACTGTGCATCACTGCACACTGTCTCATGCCATTTGGGATCGTCACAGCTATCATCTGGGAAACCTGATGAGGGGATTAGCCATTCACCTGCCCTTTTGATTCACATTTGAGCAGTGCAATCTAGCTAGCATTTCAACTGTGCCATCCTCATCAGAGCTTGAAAAAGATTAATTTTTTATTACAATTTCTGAATCTCATGGTAACCCTTTGCCTTGCTCTGTTCGCTGAGAGATTATTGGGTCTGAAGTCCAAACAATTAACATTGCCAAGCCCTGGTCATTGTCACTTATGAGAAGCATATGAGAGGCTCAGCCTGTCATTGAACATCAAGAAAACCAAAGTGCTCTTCCAGCAGTCACCAGCCAATCTCTCAGACCAGAAATACAGCTTAATGGTGTAACATTAGAAAATGTTGATAATTTCCGCTACCTTGGCAGCCACGTCTCCACAAAAGTCAACATTGACACTGAAATTCAACACCTCCTGAGCTCTGCGAGTGCAGCTTTTTTCCAAATGAAGCACAGTGTTTGAGGACCAGGACATCTATAGGGATACCAAGGTGCTTGTTTATAAAGCTATTGTCCTCCCAACCCTGCTATATGCCTGCGAGACGTGGACTGTCTACAGATGTCGCATGCAACTCCTAGGACAATTCCCTCAGTCCTGCCTCTGGAAAACCCTGCAAATCTCTTGGGTAAACAAGCAGACAAATATCAGCATGCTGGAAGAAGCAAAGACCATCAGCATTGAAGCAATGGTCCTCTGCCATCAGCTCCGCTGGATCAGGTCACATTGTCCGGATGCCTGACCACCGTCTCCCAAAGCAGTTGTTCTACTCCGATCTCAAGAACGGAAAATGGAATGTTGGTGGACAGGAAAAGAGATTTAAAGATGGGCTTAAAGCCAATCTTAAAAACTCTTGCATAGACACTGAGAACTGGGAAGCCCTGGCCCTTGAGCGCTCCAGCTGGAGGTCAGCTGTGACCAGCAGTGCTGTAGAATTTGAGTAGGCACGAATTGAGGGTGAAAGAGAGAAACGTGCCAAGAGGAAGGTGCATCAAGCTAATCCCGACCAGGATCGCCTTCCACCTGGAAAACAATGCCCTCATTTGGGGGGGGGGGGGAGATGCAGATCAAGAATAGGGCTCCACAGTCACCTATGGACCCACCACCAGTACACTGATCCTGGAAGACTATCCTACTCGGACAACAAGGGATCATCTAACTTAACTCATTGTCATGTAGCATGTGAAGTTCTTCCTCTTAAGGGACAAACCAGATGATACATAGAAAGCAATACGCTGCAGAAACCTGGCCAGCTGTGATAAGCCCACCGAAGGTATCAAATGGATGATGTGGGTTGTCATTTATCCCATAAACCTATTGTTTAGATTTATATTAACATGGTTTCTTGGAGGGGCTACAGCTGCTCTTTTACTACTTTTTTGTTTGTCATTTTAGATTTTGGATTGTTTTACTACAGTTCTAGGATTCTGTTTTTATCATCCCATTGCGAGGCACTCCAGAAATAGTTACAGATGCTCGCTCACTCATTCGCCCAGGGGTGTAACAGAACTGTTTGGCCAACTCTCCATGTGTTAGAAACCGGGATATGACATACATATGCAATCCAAGATCTTGATGTTTTGAAAACTGCAAGAAATAAGAATTTCCTATTCTCTCTCAAGACAGTGAACAAAAAAGTTACATTGCCAAATGCTTAAAAAAATTCACAATGGATTACTAAATCGCATTAACCAATCATTTGGCAATTTGTACCTCTATTGTCTTTTTTGTACACACATTGTATTATACATATATCCAATGCTTTCACTAAAATTATGCACTAATAACTTTGTATGTGCACACACCTTCAGTTGCCTATTGTTTTATGGGGATCCCATGAATTTCACAGAGTTCTTTTAGGCAAGGTAGTTTTGCCAGTTCTTTCCTCTGAAATATATACTACAGCACTTGCTATTCACTGATGATTCCCATTCAAGTACAAGCCAGAGCGAACTCTACTTAGTTTGCAAGATCAGAAGACTTCTACTAGAATTAAAAAGAGGAGTCGGCAGCAACGAAATATTCTGACACTATCCCTGAAGGCACTTTGTTAGATGGCTCACTACCAAATGCATAAATTGCCATTTGCAGATAAAATGCAATTTTGAAAATTGGTTTCTTATTTCTGAAGATCAGCCTACAGTGTGATTTGAGATACAGATCACTTCCTTCGGATTATAGCCAGACATTTCACTCAAGAAAAATGACTGAATAAATAAGTGCATTTTACTCGATGTCTTATGAATCCTTTAAAATGTTTTTAAAGCCATGACAACATTTATATAGCAGGTATTAAGAAAAGGAACTTTCCCATACACATATCTCACAATTTTCCTGAAACACTACCATATATAACTCATTATTCTTCCCCCTCTGCCTATAGGGTGGAGAACTTTTGGCTCACCAGATGTTGATGAACACCATCCCACACCATTAGCTAGCTTAGCAAGCTAGGGTTAATAGGAATTGGAAGCCAAAGCTTCTGGTTCTCCAGCCTTGCTATATAGCCTCTAGCAATAGTCCACAAATAGATGTTTCCTCAATTTTTCCATGACATATGAGGGATATCTTACCTTTGCAATGTCTTCCTGAGCCGCCACTAAGTTCAAGTATGATATATTGACCAAGTCGGGTCCATAAACAATCGTAAGCATTCGGTTTTCCAGACGTCCTCCGATGTTCGCTGCATCCAGATGTTCACGTACTTTTGGATCCTGTAAATAACATTAAGAAATGCAAGTCATTAAAAAGCCTGCCTGCACTTTCCAAAAAGCATTTTAGTGTATAAGCAACATTTTAAGCTTTTTTAAACAGTTGCATTTCAACTAAGATTCATTCTGTATTTGTCAAGACAGTCATCCCACAATGCCACAATTTATTTTGACAGGATAGTATGGGGGGTGGGGTGTTGCAGCCTCCCTAACACATAAACATGGATTGAAGAGTCTTGAACTATATAGGATGTGCTACTGAAGGTTAGGAAAATCAAGAGATACTTTAACAATTTCTCCAATATATTTTTATTGTCTTTATTGTCTGTTCATTCTCAGAATTGAAGGCCAGCGTTGATTCTAATTCTGGAGATGGGTAGATGGTGGGAGGATCACAGATGAGTTGATTCTCCTTTATTCCCTGAATGAATTTTGATATCATGATCTGTGGTAAGAGCAGGTGACTCTGACATAGGCAAGGGTAATTTTTTCTTGTGTCTGGGGGCCCTGCCCCACAGCCCTATATCCCAGAATATCAAGGAAGAAAATCCCACATTATCTGAGTGTGGACTCAGATAATCCAATTCAAAGTAGATATTGGGGGATTTTCTGTCTTGATATTCTTGGATATAGAGCTATGAGAAGACAATTATGCTGGGGAAAATGGAAGGAAAAAGGAAGAGGGGCCGGCCAAGGGCAAGATGGATGGATGGGAGTGGTGACGGTGGGCAGGGAGCTCTGGCGTGGGCTGGTCCATGAGGTCACGATGAGTTGGAAGCGACTGAATGAATAAACAACAACAAAGGCTATGTGGAAGGGCCCTGGGACCTTCTGAAGCTGTATTGACTGCCCAAAATGCAAAAGCAAATAGAAGTGGCTGCTATTCCTTTCTGGTTTTAATACACATTGGATTGTTTGGTGGATTAGTGTCATCTATTTAAAATGTGCATTGACACTTTTGGAGACCTCTAAAAGAGGCAACTTGCCAGAAAATAAAAGACAGGCCATGGTGTTGAGGGTTCATGAAGCATGGAACCAGCCTCTGGACCCTACTCATAGATGTAGGATTGGTCCTAGAATTATACTGGAGAATTTTAACATGTTGCCATGACATTTAACTATGCAATTCTTCACATTTTCACATTATCCCCATGCTATCTAATGCTTATGTGGAGCTGCTCAGTATGGGTCACAGAAGCTGTCTTATTTCTCTTTGTCAGGCCCTTTCCAGACAACTGAATAAAATCCCACATTTTCTGCTTTGAACTGGAATATATGGCAGTGTGGACTCAGATATCCCAATTCAAAGCAGATATTGTGAGATTTTCTGCCTTGATATTCTGGGTTATATGGCTGTGTGGAAGGGCCCTCAGTGACTCAGGTGAGGCTGTGAATGTGGTGAGCCATTGCCTGGAATAGTAATGGGCTAGAAGAGTGCCCATAAACTACAACTGAAACCTCAACAAGGTTTGGGCAGATATATGCAGCCCATTTCTCTAAACGCCTTCCTTTGAACTTTTCCAGTTTCATTCCCTATCGCTATTACTCTTTTGGAAAGAAAACTGTATATATTTTTACACTTATTTGTCATGGTTGCATGCTGGCACTAACTAAAGGTATTTTGTGTTTATTATAGAGATGTACACAGGCATGCTTGCTGTTTATTACGTTTTTCTTCTTTAGGGGAATGCTTCAGAAGTCCAGAAATATTAAGATTTCCGAAGGCTTTCATGGCCGGAATCACTGGGTTGTTGTTGGTTTTTTCAGGCTATATGGCCATGGTCTAGAGGCATTCTCTCCTGACATTTCACCTGCATCTATGGCAAGCATCCTCAGAGGTAGTGAGGTCTGTTGGAACTAGGAAAAAAGGTTTATATATCTGTGAAATGACCAGGGTGAGACAAAGGACTCTTGTCTGCTGGAGCTAGGTGTGAATGTTTCAACTGACCACCTTGATTAGCATATAATGGCTTGAGAGAGTCCTTTGTCTCACCCTGGTCATTCCACAGATATTTAAATGCTTTTTCCTAGTTCCAACAAACCTCACTACCTCTGAGGATGCTTGCCATAGATGCAGGCAAAACGTCAGGAGAGAATGCCTCTAGACCATGGCCATATAGCCCGAAAAAACCTACAACAACCCATTAAGATTTCGAATTGAAAACTAAAGCCATTTCGAGATTTGGTCCAGGATATGAGAAGATGACATATCTTTATTTGAGAGAGAGAGAGAGAGAGAGAGAAATTCTCACGCATTTCTAAAAAAGTTGGAGGCACTATGGATTGGTTGGATCTATGTCCAGGAAGTCAGTGCATATTTTATTCTGAATAGGGCTGAACTTCTCCTGAAGGAGGAAGCTCTAAAACTTGGAGGTCCCCTTGCATTCAGTATTGTATCTTGGGCCTCAATGGTTTCATCAGCTCCAAGCATGTTTAACAGTGATGTCTTGGTCATCTATATATATAAATTTGTTAGGGGCATCCAACGAGGAAACAAAACTCAAAACCCCCCCAACGAAACTTAACCAAAATTCCCATGCCCATAACACAACCCACAAGGTACAAACATATCTACTCAAAATGAAAAACAACACAACAACACACTCACAAAACGGCAAAACAACAAAACTCAAAAAACCAACGAAACTTAACCAAATTCCCATGCCCATAACACAACCCACAAGGTACAAACATATCTACTCAAAATGAAAAACAACACAACACACTCACAAAACGGCAAAACAACAAAACTCAAAAATACCCCCAACGAAACTTAACCAAAATTCCCATGCCCATAACACAACCCACAAGGTACAAACATATCTACTCAAAATGAAAAACAACACAACAACACACTCACAAAACGGCAAAAGGATAAAACTCTAAAAAAACCAACGAAACTTAACCAAAATTCCCATGCTCATAACACAACCCACAAGGTACAAACATATTACTCAAAATGAAAAACAACACAACAACACACTCAAAACGGCAAAAAAACAAAACTCAAAAAAACCCCAACGAAACTTAACCAAAATTCCCATGCCCATAACACAACCCACAAGGTACAAACGTATCTACTTTAATTAAAAACAACACAACAACACACTCACAAAACGGCAAAACAACTGAGCATGCGCATTGGCGCCCAGCCGCAAGTTCCCTAGCGCGCGCACATGCCCTTCCGGCCAACGTTCCCTCTGCGGAAACCATGCCCACTCCAAGCCCCGCCGCGCCGCTTCCCGCACACACACACACCCCTGCCGCACATACACACACAACCCCACCCTCCATCACTCCCCCCGCCGCCGCACACACACACGCAACCCCACACTCCATCACTTCCCCCGCTGCCGCACGCACACACGCAACCCCACTCCCCCCGCCGCCGCACACACACACGCAACCCCACGCTCCATCACTCCCCCCGCCGCCGCACACACACACGCAACCCCACTCCCCCCGCCGCCGCACACACACACGCAACCCCACGCTCCATCACTCCCCTGCCGCCGCACACACACACCCCACGCTCCACCCCCCCCCGCCGCTGCACACACACATGCAACCCCACGCTCCATCACTCCCCCACCCGAATCTTACCTCCTTTTACTTCACGCCCCCTCCAAACCCCACCCCGCCCCTTCCCGCCCTGTCAAAATCTAGGAAAGACAGGAAGGAAGGAAAGAAGGAAGAAAGAGAAAGGGAGGTAAAGAAAAAGGGGAAAGGAAGGAAAGTTAGAGGAAGAAGAAAAGGAAAGAAAAGGAAAGATGGAAGGAAAGAAAAGAGAGACAGCAGAAAAAAGAAAAAGGGGGAAGGAAGGAAAGAGATAGAGAAAGAAGAGGAGAAGGAAAGATGGGAGGGAGGAAGGGAGGGAAGGAAGGAAGGAAGGAGGGAAAGAAGGAGAGAAAGAGGGAAGATTGGCCACAGCAACACGTGGTGGGTAAAGGTTGTTATTTCTATTATTATTATTATTATTATTATTATTATTATTATTATTATTATTATTATTATTATGCTATTGTTCCTATGAGACCCTGGAGGAATGGAAGAGGTGTCAGGTCCCAGAGGCAATACATTGCATTATTGTTATTGTTATGATGGTGGTAAAATAAAAGGAAATAAAAAGTGAAAGAAGGAAGCAAACAGGGAGGGAAGAAAGGCAAAGGAAGAAAGGGGGAGGGAATGAAGGAAAGAGAGAAGGATGAAACCAAGTAGTGAAAGAAAGAAAGAGGTAGAGAAGGAAGAAAGGAGAGAAATGGGAGGAAAAGGGGGAAGGAATAGGTAGGTACCTCTCTTTCATAATAGTCCAGATATCTACCTCAACTTTGATAAGTTTTACTATAGGCCACAGCAACGCGTGGCAGGGCACAGCTAGTCTTTTATAAACTTTTTACATCCATTTTGATTATTGAAAAAACATTATATACTGGGCTGATTTCAACTGCTGTGATTCATTCTGGTTTACCAAGGTGGCACCATCTTGCATTCGTTCTGAAATACTTTCTCAGTTTAGATGTTTGATAAATGTTGGAATATCTTTTTTATGGGAAAAAAAATCTCACCCAAAGTTAGTAAACTTAGCCAAGTAAAAGCCAAAGGCTTTGAGAAGATTTTTATTTTATAGGAAAAAAAACTAATTTGGTTTCATTCTTTTCGCTTAATGTGGTTTTAGATAAGCTTTGTTATTGTTGCTGCACTGTATGTATTTTTAAACCACTTTAGCATGATCGTTAGTTTGGTAAAGCTTTATGAAATTTGTTAGATTCTATTTTAAATTAAAACTTGACTTTTTCCTAACTAAAAACATTTTTGAGCCATGCCTTTCAAGAGAGTACCATGTCTCCATCAGTTCTGTGAGCCACAATTCCTAGGGGAAACCAAGAATCTAATTATGGTTTATAAAACTGGTTTGCATGACACTGAGCTGCCCTCAACGCATCCCATATGACCTCCTGAAACTCGGTAATGTCCTGAACCCTGGCCAAGTCAGATTTGTTCTG